TGTTCCCAGGGTGTAATATCAGCAGCCCAGTACCACCGCAGCTGTAAGGACCTGCTCGGAGACGACTTTAACCGCATCTTCAACGAGCTGCTAGTGCTCTTGCCGGACACCGGCAAGCAACAGGAGCTCCTGGCTGCCCACGGCGACTGCAAGGCCATGGAGAAGCAGTCAGGCGCTGGTGGAGGAAAGAAAAACAAGAACAAGAAGAACGCCTGGCAGATGCCGACCACAGCGGCTAACGCAGCAGCTGAGCTGGACTGCCAGGTGTGCCCCACTTGCAGACAGGTACTGGCCCACAAAGACTTCAACTCCCACAAGACCCTGCACATCAGAGAGAGTGAGGAATTCCCTTCCTTGCAGTCAATTAGCCGTATCATCAGCTAGCCCCTCGTTTTTTTCTTTCTGCAGTCTTCAGTTGCCCCTGCAGCCCTGTCAAAGCCCTGCAGCAGACAGTGTGGAGAACAGGAGCCCGTTTCCTGCGTGACCACGTCCCAGTGGAGTTTGGGGCTAATATCTTATAACGAGTTGGAATTTGAGATGGTTTATGGTGTTTTTACTTTCTATGGGAATTATGTTGATTCACAGTTTACACACAATTTCCCCATTTCAACTCTTATTTCCACTCACATCCTTCGAGGACGTCTCCAGCTGGCACTGGCACTGGTCTAACCAGAACTGTCAATTTATTTAATGAGAGAAGAGACAAGCTGAGGCTCTGCTTAAATGTGTTGCTCCCTGATAGAAAAATTGTATTGATTTACATTTTTTTTACCTTGCTTTGTGTTTTCACTCGAACAGAAGATGACAAATTGTATTTTGTTAACATCAACGTTGATAAAGTGTGTATGATTCCCCAGCGGGGCTGCTTGGTTAAATAACAAAATAAACGCAAACCTGTTTGGTTCAACTACTCAGCACCATATTTATTTCAGTGTAGCTGTTTTATTGTTCATTGCTTCATGCAAGGAGAAGGCCTGTTAAGTGCTTGAGTGAATGGATTGTTGTAGTCTGTCAGAGACATCATGTAGGAGGGTGAGTGACAGGAAGTAAGTTGCTTTGGGAATTGGAACAAATCTTTCAGTCAGTTAAAGTTTTTTAATGTGTTCGTTCTTTTTATTCTGTTCACATCAATCACCATTACATTTGGTTGATTTGGTGATTGATGGATTGGTTAATCAGTGCCATTTGTTTGAAACTAAGTGGAACTAAAGAATGAAAGCGTGTCCTCCACAGTTATATCTACTTTTAAGAATCATTTAAGGATATTTCTTCAACACACACAAACATTATCATTCCGACTACCTTTGAATTATAGTTTTGACACACTGCGCATGTAAACTCGGTTGGTAAGGGGGGGCTGGTTACATCCAGTACACAATCTGTTCATCTTCTCTCTCAGGACCCTTTGCTTGCACCGATGCCCACCTGGGTGTGCGTTGTATGTGTGTGTGTGTGTGAGTGTAAGAGCGAGAGAGAGTCTGAATGATGTGTATATAGTTTGTATATACGTCATACAGCAGCTTACTCTTTTTTTTCTGTCTGGCTTCAATAAAGCTGTTATCTTTCAGCACTGTATGCTTCTGTATCTTTGTTAGAGCTCTGTGTGTGTGTCTGTCTGTCTGTCTGTCTGTCTGTCTGTTTCTGTGTGTCTGTGTGGGGTAATGGAGGAACAGCCTTATAGATGGTTGGGTGTTTTTAAAAACAACAAACTATGCACCTTTATAATCAGCTGCTTGTTATGTATATCAGGTATGTGTTGTGCTTAACTAAATGTATACTGGGGAAACAACAAACTCGTCTTATTTTACCTGAAAAGTACTGTAATGGTTCCCAGAAGGCCATTATGACATTTTCATAAAATGTGGAAAGCTTCCTTTTTTTTTTTCTCCGCATTCTTTTAATAATTCTACTGAAGTTTGTCATTTATCAGTTTTCCTGGTCAATACTGTACTGTTATTTCTTAGATATTGAATATTAATCCAGAAGAAATATTTTAGTCAGGTTTGGCTAATAACTTGCATTATGACTTTCCAGTAATGACAAAGTATCAAATCTATTTGTTGAACATTTTATGTAAATTAAACCTGTAATAACTAAATTTTTTGGCCATGTCAGGGCAGCATAATTAAGCTGTGAATACAACATTGACACATCACCTTTTAAGTTGCTCATTTGCAGTTACAGAGCAACTTTACCATTCATTTGGAGTCGTGTGCCACTTGATAAATGCAATTCCAATATTCATTCTGCTTTTAGCTCAGCCTTTTGTCTCTTTGTTACATTATTATAAAAAAATATTGATTATAGTCACTTATAATAATACATATCTTCACATATGAAAGTCAGGGTCAGAAACAGGCAGTCCAAAACATGTTTTCTTTTTTATTGGAGTGACGGTCAGACTGCAGTCCAGAGACATTCAGGTAATAGACAGTGACACACATCTCTGTACACAGTGTTTTTACACTGAAGAGGTCAAACACCTTCAGAACAGGAAGAAACAACTCAGAAGAAACATGTTAAAGGGTAGCACGCTACAAAAAAAAAAAGGTTTGTTTTTTGATCAATGGGGGTTAAACTTTTATTATCAATATTATGGGGAGAGATATTTTAACATCCATGCAATGTTTTATACCGGAAACCACACAACTGATGGCACCAGCGTCACTACATATCATCACCTTTTATTATTTCAGTCTAACAAAGCAACAGCATGATCACATATAACTTTGATTTTGATGCCAGTGGCTCCTTCAAAAGTGGTCAAACAAAGTATTACCAACAAAGAGTGCATTCTAGTTAATAAATAATCATTATTAATATTTTTATTTTTTATTTTCAGTAGTACAGGACAAACCAGACCCTAGACAGCATCACACACAGGTTCCATTTACTTCAATAACATACTGAATTTTACAATCAACCAATACCACGGTAGTGTACATGGGCCAGAGCACAAAACATAGAGAATGCTTGTTATTATTATTTTTATCTACCACACTGACTGAAGAAGAGACCGAAGCACTGAGAACAATAATACGACCTGACAGTACCCCAAACTACCTAATAGTACCCCAGTAGTACCTAATACCACCATCAATACCCCAGTCTCACCTGACCACAGTTAACAGGTTACTAGCAGCCCAGTAATACCCAAGATTTAAAGAACTATACTGGCAGTTTTTCATATTTTAGCATACTTGTTCATACATGTTATTATTACTGACATTTTTAAAAGTGGATTTTTATCAGATTTCTAATTGATTTCCTTCTTTTGACTTTAGTTGATCATTGTTAATATTTAGTTATGGAATCAAACTTAAATTCAATGCATGGATGGCGGACTCCGCCACTAACAATTAAAACTACTATATAGAGAGATAATTGGTGAATGTGAATACATGCTTAAATGATTTCACTGTCGTGGAGTGCATTTATGAGCACTGAACAAGAACTTTATTGAGCTCTAAGTGTCAGCTTCTGAAAATCATTGCATTACCAAGATGTCAGAGAGTCAAACCCTAAAGACAAACAATAAGCATTAGGTCAACAAGAACATTTCAAGTCTCAAGTCTCTGTAAGGTGATATATCACATTAGAATAAACTAAAACCAAGGGCTGTTTTAAAGAATCAACATCAATTGCTTCAGGAAATACTTGGCCGTAATGTTCATACAACTTGTAGGTAATGGGCTACAACATGAAAAACCACAAAGTATAGTATTTTAAGTACACCAGATAGACATAACAGTACCAAACCATATCCCAGAGGACCTGAAACCCCATCCAGTAACACTCCAGCACCTAGCAGTGTTGCATCCTTTCCCGAAACCAAAATCCTAAAAGGAAATACTACTGTTATCCCCCAGTTTAAAACATACAAACTTAACTATGCACTCGCTGACAGACAGTCTGGGGAATAAAAAAAAACAAAAAAACAATGCTTACAGGTAAATCTGAGTGGTCTTGGTTCTGTTTTACAAGACGACTTTGAAATGATTTCAATCCTTTCTAGAACTGGAGCAGAGACAAATGGAAATTGGCTGAATTTCAACATAGAGCCTGTTCTTTGTTAGCTGACACTGTCATGTCAGTGTAGCTCAAGGCCTTGGGTTCTTGTGTCACATTAAGATTTCTTTACTACAGTAAAGTACAAAGTAAAGTACAAGTAACGTAAAGACAATGTGAGTTACAGTCAGCATTCTGGGACAGTTTCACCCCTGGAGCTCTGAGATATGTGCACACTTGTGTACGTGTGGCCATCAAGATCATGAGGCTGAGATAACGGCACTGAAGAAACAAAGAATTGTTTGGGTAATAAACAATAAATTGGAATTACAATAACACAAGAAGGAATCCTGTCAGCTGCACTGATGACTGGCTAATCTCACTTTGCAAAACGTCCTGGATTAAACTTAAGAATTACATAGTATTCAGTATATAATGAGTTCTATACAACAATTTCATGCATTATTATCATGAGTACTTTTAAAACTCTGAGAGCCCCGTTGTCCTGTTACTGCAGGGCCGTATCTAATGTGCAGAGGGCGCTGCTTACACATGATCAGATAGACTAGCAGGCAAGGCATTCTACAGGTCAATTATATCACTCTAACATGAAGTTTTATATTTGGCTCTATTCATAAAAAAAAACAACTCTTAATTTCATACTTTGTAAATCAAATATCTCGACAGGGACGCTGATAATATATATTTTTTGGGGGATATGATTCAGTGGTGTAACAGACGTATAATTTCCTCCTCTGCACTGAAACTTTTACAAACAAGAAAATAACTTTTATGCACCACAAAAATCTTGTCAACTACACACATTCACACACTTTCACACAAACACAAACAGACCCACACGTCTCTCATGCATGCTAACACATGTATGCTTGTAGCACATGGACGCACTCACACACACACACACACACACACACACACACACACACACACACACACACACACCAAAACTACAGATTTCGTAGATGGCGAGTGTACGTGAACCACGACACAGACACTGCTATACACCGACATGGTTGGCATGATGACTATCTACATCAGGGCCCTTAGTGGCCCACCCTATACTGTCCCTGTTACCATGGCAACAATTCCAACCCCTCCTCCCTCTATGTCCTGGATTGCAGGATCAATGAATCCTCAACATCCCACAAACAGATTTGTCTTTTGCCTGAGACAGCACTGAATCCTCCAACAACCGACCTCGCTCACTGAATAAAAGCTCATCTGTTGCCCCCCATGCTTTGTGATTACATAAACTCCTACAGACACTAACAACATAGTAGTAACGTGGTAATCAGAAGACAGCAATAAGAACACAGGGCAGTTTGGCAGCTTCTAAAACGTAAACATAAACAGACCTGACTTATCCAGAATCTCCCCAGTCGCCCCATTTTATACACACAACTTTCAACAAAGGACACTGTCTCAAATAACACACTACATTCATTCCCTGGTAACATGGACGGATTATGAGACAACGGGCCCCTGGGCACAGACATGTGAAAGCCCCCCCCTCCCTCTGAGATAGAAGCAAGACCCCCTGACTGAAAGAGACACAAGATGACCCCAAACAACCGCGTCTCTTTTTTCCATTCATCTCTATGTAGTTGTTTTGTGTCTCTTTGCTGTACTTCCTGTCTCTGTGGTCACTTTGTGTCTCTTTGTAGTTGTTTTACGTCCCATTGTGGTCATTTCGTGTTTCCTTACAGTGTTTTTGTTTCTCATTGTAATCATTTTGCACCTCTTTGTGGTAATTTTGCGTCTTTTTGTAGTCATTTGATTGATTTTTTCAGCATGAAATGTTAAAGTCACTTCAAACGGAGGCTCAGTGGCCCCCTGCCGCCTTTGGTCTGTACCCGGTAGGCCCATTCAGTAGACTAATCCATCCATGCCTGGCACAGAAACAGAACAGACTGAAAAGTGTTTCACTGTGGATTAGGGTTTCCCTAATGAATCTTAAGGGTGATCAACCATGATCCATGTGTGTGAATGAAGCAGAGCATCACACAGATTCAGCTAATGTACTCGAGGAATATTTTGCATTGTGACACCGTTTTGTTAAATGTGTTAAAATTATGATTCCATTACGATCGAGGAAGACCATATAGTAAATACTTGAAAAGATGACATAAAAGCTAATTTTATTTCAATTGTCAACAAGCTTTTGTGAATGAGAAGCTCTCTCAGGACCTATTAGATATACAGTTACTTCCATATCTTGTGAACTTCACCAGTCAGATCAACAATTTGAATTTGAAAATTTGCCTGAGATTTGTTAGTACAATTCAAAGACTAGTATGTAATTTGAGACAGTGCCTAAAATTGGTCTAATCTGACAGTAACTAGCCTACCTACAGTACAGTATATACCTACCTACAGACCTATAAGAATGTGATATTGCACTTGGTCACAAAACATTGTCGTCGTTGTTTTTTACAGCATGTAGAAATCTACTAAATTAAGTCACTGTCTGAGACACACAGTACAGTATGGCACTTAGTTGATCTCTAAGTTTTGAAACGTGCAGATTCAAAACACATGATTACTTTTAACTGCAGCAGGGAAAGATGAAGGAAGGACCAGACCGCACTGTAGCTATTAAAAAAAACATTCCCCGTACTGTTTGGCATGAAAGGGGATTTTGACACTTCAATGAATGAAAAGAATAAGATGAAGGTGCCTTCTGCACTATTTTTAGTAATCCAATACTGCTTTGTGGTGGAGTCACTCACTTGTTGATCCCCTCATCTCTTTTTTTTCTCTTCAAAAAAGTGTTTGAATACTGCAAAACGGCCTCTTCTTCTACATGTCCTCCTCTTGCTTTCTTGCTCTCTCATCTGCTCTGATCCAGGGACACTAGTAGGAAATTGAGTTTAACATAGAGGTCTAGAAAAGTGCAGATAAGTGGAATGTTAAGGAAGGAAAGGGAACAAGAGGAGGAAACAAAGAAGGAGAGGCCGTTTTTTTATTTTGTTTTTTAACAATGATTGAAAACTCAGCCCAGATCAACACATGAACAACTGCAGGTGTAACACCACAGAAAGCAATTTTCTCTAATCCCTCTCCTGACCTTCCTTTTCCACCATCAGGTCTATCTTCTCTAGTAAATGGGAACCTGGTATGTGGGTGCTGCGTTGTTCTCAGTGAATGGTGGGCTCTGGTAGGTCTCCGTGGTCTCCGTGGTGTCGCCTACAGGGGAATTGGATGGGTACGGCTGGGTGGGCGCGCCGCCGTCCATGTGCTCCGTGGTGAACAGAGTCATGTCTGTGCCAAGCAGATACTTCTGGACTGCACGCACGGTTAGACCAGCCTGCAGGGGCAGCAGGGAGAAGGGTGGGGGGGGGGGACAATAGATGGAAACATTTTAGACAAACAACAGTAGGTAGTGCTCTAGTCAAAGTAAGCGTACATCATGAAAGCTCAGTTTTCACAGCCAGATATTAGCATTAGCAGGTAGATTGTTTTATCAAATTGCCTCTATAGAAATAAAGTTGCCTTGACTCCGCAAATATGCTCTAGTTTAGAGGCTCCATCATCATTATCTAAACATTACACTTCCCTTTGTTTGGGATTCTCTTTACGATACAGTTTTCATATCATATCCGTCTCTTAAAAATAAGGCTTCAGGTCCATTTAGCTTAGCTTATCATAAAGAATGGACACACAGGTACACAGCAATCCTGGTTCTGTCCAAAGTTAACAAAATCTGCCTACTGGCATCACTAATTGCCCGACAACCAGCACCAGGAAGTTACTACTCCCAGCCAAGAAACAGGTGCTAGGCAGATTTTGTAAAGTTGCTTATAAATGTTCTGCATGTTGAATTTTTTTTTTCACCCAAAATACTCCTACGCACCTGCCTCATAAAGCAGATGTGCAGAATTTCTAGTCTACTTTTAGTCTTTTTTATGCAGATTTTGTTACGTTAGCACAGAGCCAAGCCAGCTGTTTCTCCCTTTTTCCAGTCTCTGTGCTATGCTAAGCTAACCAGTCACCTGCAGATTCATATTTAACAGATATAGACTATATTATATTCATATAGACTTTTGTCAAGAAAGCGAATAAGTGTATTTCTAAAATACTGAACTATTCCTTTTAAAAATCTGTGAAAAATCATAACGAGAGCATTGAGCCTGACTGAAGCAGAGAGTTCAGACAACAATGCACGTAGATACCGTGTGTGCGCCATAAAACTATCAAGCAGGATTCAGCAGATGCATGACCAGTTTCTCAACTTCGATTAAGTCAGAAACGGATTACTGTCAATAGTTTAGGTCATGGATGGATTATCAAAGGGGCCCACCAGGCACAGGCACAGGGGCCCAACTGGTCAGGGTGCCTCTAATCTAGAGCCTCCGTTTGATGTGTTATTAGCTATTCTCTTTGGAAACTTAGATTGCTCAGTCAAAAGTGTCCTGATCATGGTCCAATATAAAGATACTGACATATTTAAATTGCTTTACTATTCATGTGCAGTTTTAAACCAACAGCAGAATTTTTAAAGTTATGGTTGACCCGCCAAATGTGGTTGAAAAATGTGTAAAAAATACAACATTAGTAAAAACTAAGGCTTAATATTGTGTTACTTTATGAATATTGGTTGCATTTCTTTGCATTGTATGTGTGTGTATAATGTGTGCCTCAGTACTTATGTGTCTGTGTAGTTGCATGTTCTCACCCAGGTGATTATGGAAAAGAACGAGAAGGCGATTGCAGCCCGGGCTGCATCTGCTCCCTGGTTGAGTGGCAAATCATCAGACGTGGTCCGAGACCACTGATTGGCCAGGAAGCAGAAACTTACAAAGTACAGAAAGCTCCAGAAACCTGCCAGAAACCAGTGGAACAAAAACACTTTGTTACAACAGACAAAAAAAAGGTAATTTCCAAGTACATTTTACACATTAAACACCAGGTGCAGGTGTTGAATTCTCAAATCCTGACCCGCAGTTCTCTGTTCCCTTTAGAGATGAAAAATACTCTGATTCCTCTACTACCTTTTATGTAACTTTACAGGTTTCATTTCTCTTGATGGTGCCAGAAAGAAGACATCTGAAACAAAGAAGCTGACCTACTTGGGCTACATTTACTACTTTGGTATTTTGGGGAAACCCAGACTTCTGAATCCTGCCTTTCAACCTGATCAAAAAGAACATCCACACCTATCAAATCACAGGCTAACTATGAAATGTCCAAAGTGAAGATGTTGTGTGTGGCACTTCCTGACTCTTGGGAAGTTCTAAGAATTATGTCAACAACTGGAACGTTTTATTTCTGCCAATTCTGCACATGATGGCCTCCTCACCCGAGAAGCCGACCTCAAGCATTATAGCCTTCTTCCTGTCTTTGACGGAGCTGATGGAGGAGAACTTGTAGTCAAGCAGGAAGAAGAAGGAGCATGCCAGCAGGCCCACCAGGCCCACGAACACGCCGTAGTTGCACGCGTCGGCATTCTTGTTGAAGACACAGTGGAGGCGCTCGCTGCCCAAGTTAACGTAACCCTCATTCACGATGGAGGCGAAGACCACCAGGGAAAATATCTGTGGAGGGGCGACGCAAGAAGAGGAAGAAAGTGTGTGAGAGTGAGAATACAAATGACCCACTAAACAATAAACATATCTCTCTCAGTCTCTTACTGTTGCAGGCTTACTGGAAACAGGATTGTGGCCATGCTACTCGAGAGCATCTCTTTGAGCGTGCTCAGACCGAAGGCATTAACCTAATTTCCTCTCTTTCTCTCTGACTGACCGAAGAGGTGGATGCTTCACTTCCCTTCAAGAATCACATAGTCCCGAGGCGGTGTGTACACCAAAAGAGGAAGTGTGCTGAAGGCTGATGTAGCTCATGCTATAAAACTTATTTCCCCCCCCTTGTTAGTTCATCCCATTCTTTTGGTCTGTAGTGAGTTCTCTGTATTTCTTCTACCTCTGTGCTGGACTCACACTGACACTGATCAGCTGACTAACACTCAATGGCAGAATAGGGCCATGTGACACACTCAGATATGCACTCACACTTGGGGGTTTGGGTCATATGATGGTGGAGGGACACACAATGGGATAATGTCGGGTCCACATTTTAAACTAATCACATGTGGATTTAATCTGAGCAGATACACACTCAGATGCTTTTAGTGAATCAGCATGATAAAGATGCTTATATGTATCAGAGTACTGCATCTCCAAATGGAAACTAATTTCTTTTGCATGATTTTAAAAATATTTTGACATTGTCATATAGTCTGCTCACTTATCCTCTTTGCACTTTAATTTCCTTGTTCCTTAATTATAAAACCTTTTAGCTGGAGGATTTACACTATGTAAAGTTGGAGAAAGCAGCGGCTTTAGCAACAAAGTGCCACCTCTGCTTCCACTTGAAATGGATTTCTGCTGTACTTGCTGCTACTCCTCTTTGTAGCCAGTGGTTGGAAAGGATTTTAGCACATTTACAAACACTGTACTTACTTATACTTTTAAAATAGTTGTACTTTGCTTGAGTATTTTCATTTTATTCTGCTTTATAGTTTGGGAACCACTGGAATAAACTAAACCTAAATGTAAATAAAGTTCCATCTTAACCAGCTAAAACAGTAAAATGGTTCTGACGCACTGTTGCATCAATATTAATGTAATAATTGTTAATAATATTAACACTTCAGGAACAGGAGCAATGCATGAAAGGTACATATACTTTCTGTTTTGCTAATAAGTAAAGGATCTGAAAACTTCCACCGCTGATTGCAGCTGCATGATGAATATTAAGATGGGACTGAAGCCTTTGTAGAAGACTGACAACATATGTAGAGGACTTAATAGTAAATCCTGTCTAACCTCTTGTACACATATTTGAACGTATATGCAGTTATAATACACACATACACATGAACCCATTAGGACACTACAGAGGGACATCGGTGGGTTTCAAAGGCCCCCTGCACTGTCAAAGAAGACCTTCTCTGTGTCACCTAAAGGTGATGCGTTACATCAAACGTCAGGGCACGACGCGTCTCCGTGGCCCTGCGTGCGTAATGATGATCGCGGACCAATCGCAGGTGGGATGACGGACGACGACCGTTTAGGGTAAATCAGCAAAATCATTAGCTGGAAATAGGATTGGCGATATGGACGGAGAATAGTTACAGTTCAGAGATTAAAACAGTAAAAGCTACCCTGAATAACAGGAAGGAGGAGGCTGAGGAGGGAATCGGTTGTGGGTCTGTCTTTCACGTTTTTTTTTTTTTTTTTTTTTTACACAATCCGGGTCCGGTCTGCTGCACAGCTTAGGCTGTATTTATAAATCAATTATAAAGCAATATTTTTTTTATTTTAATGAGCATATGTCTGAGAAGGGTTTCTGCCCCAGCAAAAAAAACCCCAACACATCTGTAGTGAGATCAGTTTCATAGTCAGGGTGTCAGACAACCACCAGGCCCTGGTTACACCCTGTACGGTCCATTTCTATAGCAATACACTCCGATTCACGCATTCATCCCGTGGTCTCATCCACACACCCTGCTGATCAATTATCGCTGGATTTCTGGGCTCTATATTTGCAGTGAGAACACGTCACGCTCTCGCGCAGCAACGACAACAGAGAGGACCCCCCCACCACCACCACCACACACACATACACATACATACATACATCCACACGCAAACAGCAATAGGCTACCAGTAGAAACCCCCGCTCTCACCCAGGACAGCGCTCTGAGGATGGTCTGCGGCTGTTTGGCGAAGGCAATCGGGTCGATAGTGGTCCCGGCCCGGCCCGCTCCGAACGATCCCACTCCGTCCATCTTCTGTGGCTCTCTCTCTCTCTCTCTCTCTCTCTCTCTCTCTGTGCGCTCCTCGCGGCTCCACGCTCCCGGCTCCACGGCAGGATGGATGCGCTGCTGCTCTCCGCTGTAGGGACGGGTCCTGCGCGCACCCAGAGGCGCGTGGGCATAGCGCGCGAGTGGGGAGCGTGCACGGACCGACGTGCCCGCGCCGTGAAAGTGGAGCCATTTAGACAGAATTTAATATGATCGTGTCGATATACATATTATAGCTTAGAATGAAAGGGGCCCTACCATGCGGGGTTAGAAATAAAGGTCATTAACTCACCAGTGCCACAATAAACAAGGCTGCTGTTGTTGGTTTCTCATATTGATTGGTTGGAGCCTTAAAGGACTACACTGTACTTCCATAAAGTTTGGGGACAGACGAACGAAAGGTCTAAATCAAAGCAGCAGAGGCAAAGATTTCCTGACTCTCAAGCAACCAAAACGGTGGATCACTTCAACTGATGCCATCTTAAGCCAATGCTCTATATGTTTAAAGCCCATTGGGGCAAATGCCTAACTAAAACTGTCTTGACTTGTATACATTTAAATAAAATTGTGTTAAATTAAATTACCACAAACCAAGCATCAATAGGGGTCCAAAGCTCATTTTTTCCCAGGGCCCCTTTAGTGGGTTGATCCGGCTATGGCAATACATTAGGACTGTAGTCAGGAAATATAGCCATTCATTTTAAAAGACCTGCACACCCACCCAGGTGTTTTATACAGGTTATATAATAATAATAATAATAATAATAATAATAATAATAAACATGATTATTTACAGCACTTTTTTAAAACAAAGTTACCAAGTGCTGTATAAATATAAATAAATAATCAGTATTAAAACATTTCAGCAATGATGTAAATAAGATCAGACAATTCAAAAAACATGAAATGGAGTACCCAACAACAACAACAACAACAACAACAACAATAATAATGACATTAATAATAATAAAGGTGTAAATTGTTCAATCAGGTGCAAAAAGGACAGTGGGACAAAAATCAATCAAGCATGATCTGAGTCTAATCAAAAGAAGTGAAAACAGCAGTATAGATGCAAACATCTGTGTGTGGGGCCTTTAAACATATTGAGTCTGGGGTATTCTGGAGTCAGCCTATCAAATATCCACAAAATGATTTCAATCATGGAATGTAAAATGGACTCATTGTCCTCAGTGGCAGATACCATCCTGCAGTTATTACAGAAGTTTAGTAAAAGTTATCTAAATATCTAAATATAGGACACATATAGGCCACGAGGTGTGTAGACTGCAAACAATACAGAGTGACTCATTCATTAGTCACAAACATTGGAGTTACAGTTATTAAATATGGCATGGATAAAAGTCTCATGATGCTGTGCCAAATACCAAAACACAATATAATCACAAGTCTCTTATCATGGGATATTCACCAATTACTGTGGCCTCAACAATGAGCATTTAGGTGAACACTAAACTTTCTCAACTCAGATCAGCTTTAATTGACTGTCCAATGCATACATTCACAATACTAATAAAATATGTTTTATTATTATATAATAAATTAAATACAGTGAAAAACAGATCTGACACTAACTGCTGCTCAGCGGGTTATATCTCACTAATAAAGTAAACCCTGGTATTGTAAAACAATTTTTCATTTGTTATGAAAATGGCCAACTGGAGCTGCTACAGTATCATGCAGACATGGCTCACACCACTAGAGGTCAGTCACGTCTTATCCATGCAGATAATTCACACTACATACTGGTTGTGGATTTAGACATAAAATGAGGATTCAAATACAAAAATCCTTTATAGGATCATGAACAGTACAACAAATAGTAGCAGTGGAGTAGCAGACATGTTTGACTGTGTGTGTTTGTCCTCTACTGGTTCCTTAAATAACATGATCAGAGAGTTTATTAATAACACTCACACAGCTCAGGTCTCATGGAAAGTTGTGGCCCTCAAATGCCCTTGGCTAGAAGAGAAAAGGCTTCATATGGTGCTAAAACTACCAGGTACAATTACCCATTAATCCGCTGATCTAATACCTATTTATTACTTGTTTATTCTATAAAATATATATATATATAATGACAGATGGCTGCTGTATGTTACCAGGTCCCAAAATGTGTCTTTAAAATTGATTATTTTGTCTGCTCAACAGCCAAAACATGTACATGAAACAGAGAAACACAAGTAAATGATCACTTTTGAGAAGTTGCAATCAACAAATACAGGTATATTTTTACTTAATTCAATTACTTTAATGATCAGCTACTCATTTAATTACATAGTTACCAAATTCAGCACTAATTTATGCCAATAAATTACCATACTCTTCAGGCATACCAAGCCCACAACACACACGTACACACAATACCACATGTGTAGTATTTCAATGAAAAATAAATTTGTAATCATCATTAGGTAAAATATATATATTTATCTGACATATTCAAAAGTATTTTATAAGTTATAGCTGACATAACGAGAAGGATTGTTTAATTAAGTCAATATGATTCATTCACACATTTAAGAATTTGATTATCTAGTGTTGTACTGGCTGTTTTGGGGATACAATTTCAAAACACAACTTATAAACAGACCGGGAAACAATAATTTTAATGGCTAAATGTACTGCTTTAAACAGACAAATCAGGGTCGCACCTGAAACGATGACCCAAAAAAACACAAAAAGCCATTTTGTATTTCACACAAGAGATTGGGTAAAAGAATTTCAATAAAAGATTTGTATCCTAAACTTTTAAAACTCCTCAATAACAGGAATGAACAAGAGGTTTAGTGGAACATGTTTTACTGTGAGTCTTGGTTGAGAAACAGAGAAGTTACTCAGTCACAGGAACCATCTTTCCATCCATCTCTCCACCTCTCGTCCACACGGGAGCAGTCGAACTCGGGTTTGCCCAGCCGGATGTTGATGTCATTATGGATGTGACAGAGCCACTGAGAAAGAGAATGGCGACTCCGGGTGTCTGGCTGATTGGTTTTCAATCTGTGGAGAAGAACTGTTGCATTTAGAAATTGTCTGCTCTTCTTCTTAATATGAGACAATGTGACAGTTCCTGATCTGTTTGCTTTTTTGTTCTAAAACCAAAGACAACAAGATAAAAGAACCGTGGCTTTCAGCTTTGTTACAACCCAACTTAAAATACATCTTTATCAACCTAAAAACCTGTCAGCAGCACCTTGATTTGTAGATAAAAGGAGTAAAACCTGTATAATCACTGATCAGATCCTTTCAGCATGAGCCTTCTAGACAAATCTACTCCAAGTTAAGATGCTACAAGACCTGATACGGCTCTGTCAGCCTGCATATTAAACCTAAAGCAGCACAGTGGTCTGACCTGCCCCTGAGGTCTTCTGCACACTCATCGCAGGGGAAGAACTTGGAGAAAAGGTTGATGAACTGCCCCATCTCTCGCTGCTGGGTGGAAGACGGCTGGTCGGGGTAATATGCTGCCATAGTGTGCAGGAAGGACCACGTGCTGCGCCCCAACTCTTCCCTGTCCAATGGACACTGTGGGTCCGGTTGTGGTTCTGACTCTGCAGCTCGGGTCTCCTGCAGAATCATACAGACAGGGGTATGCAAACATACGTAGAGCCACACACAGTAGAGTCACTCAGCTGGTGATTCAAGTGATTTATGTTGATTTGTGGATATACATGAACTACTTGTGTCCATATCACCACAGCCAGAAAAGAGTATTTGTCCCTTGGAGATTAATATAAACAATAAATGATATTAAAAGGGTTTGGACCAGATGTAGGGACATTTCTTTCTGCACCAGTGTCTCCCAAGGGCCTCTGGTATTACAGGATGACCATGGGACAGCAAACGTTCTGATAAAGCTCCAGAAGGGAACAAAAACTCAATTAAAGAAGTAAATTAGATCATAAACCAATATGTATCCAAGCTTTAACTTCACCACTGTATAAGAGTCACCTGTACAGCAGCGGTCGTCTGTTTCTTCTGGACCTTCATCCACGTTTTAAAGTCCGTACAAGCCCTGCACGGCTTCTTCTTCACATCCCCGGTCTGCTCCTGCTCCTTACCGGCGCCGTCCTCCGGTGGTCTGCTGGCCACTGCGAACGGGAAACCCTCAAACCCGGTCGGGTTGGAGGCAGATGTGCCTTTCGGTCCTGTGGGCGCAGCCATGTTCGCTATTATCTAATAACCCCGACCGACCTGTAACATCGACACACGTCAGGAAAGCCCGGCTGTAGAAACGCAGCCGCGCCTGACTGGACACATTATCACTTTTTAATATTTTATTCTACCGGTTGGACGATGTCATGGTGACGCTGCACACTTCCCGGTTGATGTAAGCGGCGGAGAGACACACGGGACCAAATGTGCGTTACAGCCACTTGTGTTCCACCCGGACCTTTCTCGGGCACGGACCGAGTTCCGGTGTGTGATGTCAGTCAGCTGTGCATGCCGCTGAGTGTAACATCTGTCAAAGTGTACATTTATACCATTTTAACTCGTTTGAAACTGTTGCAGTCACACTCGTCTTGCGGTATGTGTTGACCGGCTGTGTTTAACGCGGTTTGTCAACTGTTACGTCCCACTGGTTAGCTGCTTAGCCGGGTGGCTAACAAAGCTAACAACTGTGGACTGACACGTTTCTGTTTGTGTTTCCTCTCCACGGCGGTGTAGCTGGAGCCCTGCTGAGCGGACACAATGGGGATCTTGGACAAAATCGCGGAAATAGAGAGAGAAATCTCTCGGACACAGAAAAACAAAGGTAAGAGAGGGACAGACGCGATGCTAACTGTTAGCATCACCATGAACGAAGTTATAGCCAGCTGTGTGTGTGTGTGTGTGTGTGTGTGTGTGTGTGTGTGTGTGTGTGTGTGTGTGTGTCAGTGTGTGTGTGTGTGTGTGTGTGTGTGTGTGTGTGTGTGTGTGTGTGTCAGTGTGTGTATTTGTGTGTGTGTGTGTGTGTGTGTCAGTGTTATGTTACTCATTCTTCTAACGCTGTAATTCACACCATAAGCTTGGTGACAGTTGCCACTACAATGAAAGGAGCAGTCCTCATGCTCCTTTAAGTAATATCTAATATGTTTAATTGAATTAAAGTCAATACCAGTGTGGTTGTTGTGCTGGTGTTACAGGTGAACAGCAGCCTTTCTTCAGATCTCACCTACTTAATTTTGGAGTCAGACTCATTTTAATACACTTATTATATGTATAATATATACATGTATAATATATACATGTATTATAACAGAACAGAATAAGACTTTCTTTGAAACACATTTTGTTTTTTACATTCATTCCTCCAGCCACTGAGTACCATCTGGGCTTGCTCAAGGCCAAGCTAGCCAAATACAGAGCTCAGCTCCTCGAGCCCTCCAAGTCGGCGGGGGCCAAAGGCGAGGGCTTCGATGTCATGAAATCAGGAGATGCTCGTGTTGCTCTTATCGGTTTCCCCTCTGTGGGTAAGGTACGTCAACATGGCGGGTCATGGATTGTGTTTTGTGGTCTGGATCTGAAAAGTAGCACTGTATCTAACATACAAACAACTGAGCCTGCTTTCTTGTCGTGATGGACAAAGTCACCAGAAAGAAACAGAATTGAATGATTAACCACGTGCCGCTGGTCTAATTGAATCCTCTACTGTGTCCTGCAGTCCACCTTCCTCAGTTTGATGACCTCAACAGCCAGTGAAGCTGCTTCCTATGAGTTCACCACCCTCACCTGCATACCTGGGGTCATAGAGGTACACACATTTTACACCAAGGCGTATCTGAACACTTGCAGCTTTAAACACTGTGCAGCAATATTCCATTTACACTGTTATTTGTTGCTCTTCAGTACAAAGGGGCCAACATCCAGTTGCTGGATCTGCCAGGAATCATTGAGGGTGCTGCCCAAGGTAACCTTAGGTTGAATGTTTTTATGTTTTGTTTGCTTAAACCTGAAGTGAACAGACAGTAGAGATCTGTAATATATCTATTTTGTGTATATATGGTATAAACACTGACTCTTTGACCTTTAATAGGTAAGGGTAGAGGTCGACAGGTCATTGCTGTTGCCAGGACAGCGGACGTTGTCATCATGATGTTGGATGCCACCAAAGGAGAGGTTCAGAGGTGTGTGTGACACTCATTGTTTGTGTGTGTGTGAGTGAGTGAGTGAGTCTGTTAGAGGGGGTTCGAGGGGCATGTGAGTGTTTTCATTAACTAATTCATTCCTTTAACTTCTTTCTTTTTATGTTTCTAGAGAACTTCTAGAAAAAGAGTTGGAGTCAGTGGGCATCAGACTCAACAGGACGAAACCAAATATTTATTTCAAGGTAGATTTTCTGTCATATGCCCACAGTCTTGTCAAATTACTATCAATATAATCCATAAAGATGAACCGTATTCCATACAAACTTTACATTTTGTCACCGTACCTTGCTCAGTCTCTGTTATAGCTGCACTCTTTCATTGGGTAAATAACGAAGGAATGAAGGCAGACCGTTTCAGAAATTAAAAATTGCCACTAAAATAAGTGCCTGTTGGTGGATCAGATACACAACGAATTGCACACCAACTTACAATCATTATATGTGTGTGTGATGGATTTTTTTTCAGCCGTTATCAAAGTAACAAACTGGTTCGCTGCTTCCACATAGCGATCATGCTCATGGGAGCGATCACCGATTTGCCTCTGATCTGTGGGCATTTTTCGGCAATCTCCAAAAACGTTGGGTGACTGTAAGATCAGGGCTAAAATCAGGCAGTGTGACAGACCAACTGGGCCTTTCTGCTAGCAAGACAAAAAAAACCCCCAAAATGATTCAAAATACAACCAGGCCAGAAATGAATATTCCAACTGTTGCACTAAACTTTGTATATATATATGTGATTTCTCTCTCTCCCTGTAGCCCAAGAAAGGTGGCGGCCTCTCCTACAACTCCACAGTTCCTCTCACCCAGTGCTCAGAGAAGCTAGTTCAGCTCATCCTTCACGAATACAGTATCCTTTAGAAGAGGCAGCATATTCCTGAAGACTCAGTCCTCTTGTCTCTTTCACGGACTTGTTAAGAAGTCACTGTAGTATTTGGTTGATTTCTTTAACTCCTCCTCCTCAGAAATCTTTAACGCAGAAGTCCTGTTCAGGGAGGACAGCACACCGGACGAGTTCATCGATGTCATCGTTGGGAACAGAGTTTACATGCCTTGCCTATATGTATGTTCATGCTTATCATCTGGGTTGAGTCAAAGCCTCGTACCTCTAAAATACTAATAGTTTGGAAACCCAAATCCAAAGATTCAGAAAAATTTCAAGCCATAGTATCATCATTTGTGAAGTAAAGAAAATATATTTGGAAAAAGAAATGTATTGTGAATATTTGGAGTTATGAGGTTTTGGCAAATCTGTCTCGCTTTGTCTGTTTTAGCTTTTGTACACTCGTTTTAAATCTCTCCTATATTATTTGTGTTATTTACAGGTGTACAATAAAGTGGATCAAATCTCCATCGAAGAGGTCGACCGCCTGGCTCGCAGACCTAACAGTGTTGTCATCAGGTCAGATATCTGTTTTTTTGTGTGTGTGTGTGTGTGTGTGTGTGTGTGTGTGTGTGTGTGTGTGTGTGTGTGTGTGATAATAACGACAGTCTCGGTTGGAAACAGTCATCTCACTCTTTTTCTGCATAAATGTGGGAGTTCAACATCTTCCTCCTTTTTCTGTCCTCGTGTATGTTTCAGTTGTGGCATGAAGTTGAACCTGGAATACCTTCTGGAGACATTGTGGGAATATCTGGCTCTGATTTGCATTTATACTAAGAAAAGAGGAGGTACAAACGCAACTTCCCCTCATGCTCTCCTTATGACTGTCACATGCACATGAATGCAGCACACCTTCTAAATAATTAATTTCTCCTTTCTCTATTAGAGCGCCCAGACTTTAATGATGCTATCATTATGAGGAGAGGAGCAAGTGTAGAACACGTGGTGAGTAAAACACACATGAATTCAAACACTTCAACAACATTTGTTGATCAATAATAAGACTATGTGCCCTTTTTGTTGTCTACCCACAGTGCCATCGAATCCACAGAACCTTAGCCAGCCAGTTCAAATATGCCCTGGTTTGGGTAAGTAAATGCAACCTTTCCAAAGGCAGTGACCCTCAGAAACGTAACTCATTGAAAACAGTTTGAACTAAATCTCTCATGTTGACTGAGTAGAATAAACAAAGACAGCTGTAGATTTTTATGCCTGCTTTGCCTTTTATTGGTGGACCTCATAATAGAGGTGTAATGGTACACAAAACTTACACAAGTTTGAGGTTGAGTATGTTTTTGTCCATTCATTTTAAAAAAACACAGCACTTAACCGTGGTTCATGGGTCATTCTTGCTGTAAAGATTTGCATTTGACCTTAAAGTAACGAAAAGCAGTTGGACTGAGCTGAATGAAGGAACGTGTTCCTTGTATTTTTTACGACTGACTGTGGTTGCATCTGTAATGATAAAAACGCTTGTGGTATTGTGGTAGTGAGTCTGAAACCAGTCCCTCGTTAGTAGGTGGTGAGCAAATCAGATACGATTTTAAAGGTGTTCCAAGATAAAACCTTGACTAATACATTGGAAGTTCTGCTACTTAGCACATTCCCAGAATTCACCAGTGAATATCTTTTTTGGTGTACAAGTTATACTACACAGTAGTTCCAGCCATTCTTTGAGGATGTAGTAATTTCTAGAAAAGTTACGAATGAGTTATACTTATGTGGTGGCATAGGCTATATATTAACATTGCAAGCTTTTTGAGTGTGGTGATGATACTTTAATCCCACAATGGATTGTGCAACAGAAATGTACTGTATGCACTCGCAGCTGGAAAAATGTGACCAGATGGCATCGTCATTGTACTTCAGCTTCATTAAATGTCCAAACTCACATTATTAATTACAGTAAACCCAGCTGCAGCTCATAAATTAGTAATTGGTAATTATGGTTTAGGTGTGTGAGGGGAAAAGGTACAAATTAAAACCACCCCTTGAGCTACACTTGTGTTGACTGTGCCATGATACATGAGAAGCAGGGAGATGCCTCTATCTCTTCACTGCTGCTCAGTATCTTATTCTGAAACCTAGTTCACTGTGTAGTGGTTCACTACATTTGAAACACAAACAAAAGTCGAAGTTCTGAACTGTGTCGTCTGTGTTTGCTCCAGGGAACCAGTACCAAGTACAGCCCTCAGAGGGTCGGCCTTACGCACATCATGGAGCACGAGGACGTCATCCAGATCGTTAAGAAGTAAAACTCCTGACTGGACCGAGGAGAGACTGAGCAGGAGGAGGCACGCTTGTGTTGGAGGAGTTAAAATGAAAAGAAATTCACTGTACAGTAGATATAAAGCAATGAAAAATATCTGCCATTCT